CCTACAGCGCCACACCAGGACTCCAACTGGTTTTAGGCATATGGATATTATCATATCACAGACAGTTGTACTCCAAGATAGATTTTGAAATGCTCTTTTTGATGATGAAGGTCATTCCTCTTTAATTTGACATTTGGCATACTAAACCATATGATTATCCTATTAAAATTGACCAACACTAGCCCATTTCAGTTCACTAATGCTTAGAATATTGATCTTTATATATTCCATTTCATTTGTGACAACTTGCAGTTTTCCTAGATTCATGTTCCATGTTTCAGTTATTAATGGATGCTTGCAGCTGTTTCTTCTCATTTTGAGTTGTACCCCATCAGAAAATGAAGATCCTGAAAACTTTGCTCCATTCATGTCACTAAGATCAACTCTATTTTGAGGAGGCAGCTCTTAAGACTCAGCCATATTTTGAGTGCCCTCCAACCTGAGTGGCTTATCTTCTGGCACTGTATCTGACAACGTTCCACTGCTATTCATAAGGTTTTCAGTGGCTAACCATTCAAAAGTGATCTACCTCTCTTCCTTCTTTGTCTGTCTCAATCTGGAAACTCTGCTGAAATCTGTCCACCATCGGTGATCCTTCTGGTATTTAAAATACCAGTGGCATAGATTCCAGCATCACAGCAACATACAAGTCACTACAATATGACAAACTGACAGATGTGAGTGATGGGTATACTCTTTAGTTAGTGATTAACTTGGTGAAGGGAAAGGCATATAACAAATATGCCTTTATTTGACATATGGATATATGATATCATATAGAGAGATCTGGATAATTTGCACACCTTTCCTATTAAATCATACAGTATCCCCTTAATAATCTTTTTCTCAGATTATTTATATCATTAATATCACACACAAGTGAAATTTTGCTGGAAATAATTTTAAAATGCATGAGTACAACTAAGTGGTCTGAATTCCCATTCTTTGCAATGCTATTCAGTTTATAATCCACACAGTTGAATGTCTTTGCATAGTCAGTAAAACACAAGTAAACATCTTTCTGGAATTCTCTACCAAGATCCATCTGATATCAGCAATG